ATCAGGTTGTGGACCTTGTCCACTTTTGCGTAGGGGTCGGCTGCAGACTGACTTGGCAGAGATGGCTGCCATGTTGTTTTTACATGGATTAGTTGGCGTTTCTCAATCTGCATTCTTGCCTGTACTTGTGTTCTTGCGGACTTGTCAAACGTCATCAGTGGCAGCCCAAGTACTGTTCCAATTCAAAGTCCGCATCCAGCCAAGTATAGTCCAAATGCCCGGATGTGAACTTGCTCTGCCTGTTCCATTGGGGATGCATCGGGAGGTGACTTGTGTGGACTTCTGACAGCCAGGTATCCCAGACTGCACTTCTCACAGACTAGCGGCAATGGCAGCCATCCTTGGGAGTTTGTACTCCCGAGTCAAACTTGCCAAGTCTGAACTAGCAAGTGCGCATGTCCAAACTTGGCGTACTTGGTATTGAGAAACGTCTAGTGTTTTTTTGGTCTTACTACCACTAGATGGCACAAAAAAGCATCCATGAATGAGGACAACAGGTCTACGTTAAGTAGAATGAAGTATAAGGTCAAGTAAACCCAAAGTGTGATGTCCTCATATGAGGACGCATGTGCACTTGAAAAAGGCAAACCCATCTTCGTCATTTTTTTTTTCTTTTTTTGTAAAATCAATAGAATCTATTTCAAAATTATATACTTATTCTACATATACAGATATTCAACGATCATTGTTGGGTAATATGTATGTTTATGTTATCCAATGTCAAGTCTCTGATCATTTGACGAGATGATATGTCCATAATAGCATGCACTGGGACCTGTCGCGCCTACCTTATGTCACTGTGTTGTACTGTACTGTACAAAAATTCAGCACTTCACTTCAGTAAATTGTTACCAATGACGTATTTGTCTCTGTAAGGTAACGGTGTTAACTCAGGCCATAAAGCATTTCCCACGCCATCACTCCTCTGATAATATTATGACGCATGACGAATATTCTTGTCAACAAACTGTGGTCCCTCCTCACGACTCAAGGAGAACCACCTCTTATCTCACTGAGAATATAGTTTGAGATAAATAATTCTATAATAAATAAAACAAAACAAACAAATCTAACCTCTCTTACACATTTTGTGAATTTACATGCAACATAGTTTCAAAATCGTAAAAATCCTGTTTACATTTTGTTTGAAATATCTTAAACATGCAGTGAACACACTTTGCTCAACCTGAAACATTTTGATACTGTATATGATAAAATGCAATAACTTAAATATTAATATGCGAAAGCTGTCTCACCTGTTTCTGGTTGTTTGGCTGCACAGCAGTGCCGACAGGTTGAGCTTCACCTAAAACTGCATCTGTCTGCAAACTGTACTGGTACAGTTCCTAATATTTGGAAGAGGAGGAGGAAAGATTGGCAGCTCAGCACCTCCCCCTCATCCTGAGGCAGACACTTAACCCTTACCTGAGAGACACGATTTTTATTTTAAATTTAGGAGGTCCAAAATAAAAAAACTTTTCAGTAAACATGAGTTATGGATATAGGTGGCAGATCACTCAGATACCAATATTGTTATATTGAACTGTTGCTTAATATTCAAACTGGAAAATATCAATATTATATTAATATTATTATATGAGGCAAGATATCGTCTTATCTCTTGAGTATCATGATATTGTAAGTGTTGTCATTTCCTGGTTTTAAAGACTGCATTACAGTAAAATCATGTAATTTTCTGAGCTTATCTAGCTGCTCTATTTTTTGCCATTATCCACTTAATCATTATGTCTACATTACTGTTGATTATCAAAAATGTCATTGTGTAAATATTTTGTGAAAGCACCAATAGTCAGCCCGACAATATCGTTCCTGTCAGGGAGTGACAACAGTGCTGCAACAGTGGTGAGATTCAAAAGCAGGACTCAAGAACACAGTGAAAACGGTTAAAAAGGTTTTACTAAAGATATCAGAGTTTGGTACTCAATAGTCAGAACCTGTGGCCCTTTGCTGCATATCATCCCCCCTCTCTCTCCTCCTTTCACACTTAACTGTCCTGTCCATTAAAGGCATAAAATGCCCAAAAAAATATCTTAAAAAAAAAAAAAAAGCCAAGGTATCCAAAAACACCTGGCAAGAGACTGAGTCAAAATACGCAAGCTCAAGATTAAATAACACATAAGGTGTAAATGCTGGAACGCTTTAACAGTGAAAACAAATTGGCACAAAGGTGACATAAGGGAGGTTAAGCAGGGAGGTGAGGGACAGGTGCAACCTATCAGGGTCAGGGTAATCACAGAGGTTCGAAACACACATGGGCAGGAGGTGCAGTATTTAAAATGAGAGACACAGATTGTGATGGTTAACAAGCTGTCACAGTAAGCATGGAGCCCACACTGTAACTAACTGCACTCCCTGAAGAAATATTATCATATTTTTGGAACAATGAACCAGTGATTCCAGAGAGAAGCAGACAGAGGGGTCTACAGTCTGTGTTTGAAGGATATATCCAGGATGTCAAACTGACTCAGCAGCAACAACAGGTTAAAAAGACACAGATAGTTAGAAGCTAAAGCCGAACTATAGGCTACAGATCACAGTGTAAAAGTGAACCACCACATCACTGCTGATCGCCACACAAGACAATGAATATAAAGGGAAACTTTGCTGATATTGAACCAGCTGTGTGGCATCGCAGTGTGTGCAGATGAACGTGTTTGGCTTCGACAGGGATCTCTGGGCGAAGTCAAACAACGTTGTGATGACACACAGCTGGTTGAATATGAGCAAAGTTTCCCTGCTTCCCTTCACTGGTTCCTGTACAGCAGGGTCGGTCTTTGTTTGTTAATCATTACAAAGCAAAAACAGCATGTGTATACATTCAGTAGGCTGTATCTTCAGTAGCTAGCTAGATAACCCTACACTTTTCAGGGTTTGATTTTGGTTTTGGAACAGGGAAGAAACGTATATATTTTTCCAACCTCTCCAGGTAACGAGTATCATTAATACACGACGTGCCCCAGGCACAACATTTAGCTCCAAATCCACAAAACCAGCCTGAAAATGAAGGAAATCTGAAATGACTGTATTAGAGTCAATGGAGCACAGCTGAGTTGTTGTCGGATCCTGGTCTGATGTTACGTCATGATTGGTCAGTCTGCGTCCAGGAGCGGGTCTTAGCAAAGGGGCAATTGAAAAAAAAACTGAAAACAATAACATGTGACTGTGAAGGCTGGAACCGATATCCAGGTATTTGTTCAAAGATATTGTGATATTTTATTAAATAAATATCATATAGATAAATGGCAATGCTGCATTGCTTAATTATTTAATTTAATTTTATTTTAATTATTTTTTAATATTAAAGAGAAGACAGTTATTGTGACTTAATTGTCTTGGTTGAGTTTCAAATTGATACTGATTAATTAAAACAACTTATTTTCACGTCAAATACTATTCTTAATTTGATCTCATGCTGTGCCACATATTTATTAAATGGATTTATTGCCGTTTTTGTAAATATTGATGCTTTGTTTTAAATATTGTTTATATTCCTTTTTAACAATATTTGTTTATCTATCTATCTCCTCTACCCACTCCATCACTGCTTTGGCTTAAAGATAATGTTATGACGAATGAGGAATATTCTTGTCAACAAACTGAAGTCTGGGTCCTTTCTCAAGACTCAAGGAGAGCTTTAAACCACCTCTTATCTCCCTCAGAATATAGTTTGAGATAATTAATGCGATAATAGATAAAACAAAACAAACCTTTTAATATTATGCTTATTTATACTCCAACTTCCAGAGGGAAATATTGTAATTACTTTTATTTAACAGCTACAATTACATTTTAATCTTTTAAAAAATAAACCAATATTAAAACATATTAGTTTGTTAAAGAGGGTCACTTTTTTGTAGATAAAACTACATGCCTGTATATAAGTAGTTATAATAAGCTCCATCTCAACTTGCTAAAACATGTCAGTGTTTCTTAGACATGAGTGTATATCCCTGGTTACTATTTTCACACATTCCTGCACAGAACTACATAAAATGTGTATATTCTGCATATTTTTATAGTGATTTTTTTTCTTTTTTTTCTAATTTTTAATCTAAAATTTTCATATTTCAAATCTATTCTTTTGTCTTTTTTTCTCTCTGTAATATATTTCTATATATTTACTTTCTGGACTTTAGCAGTAACTGTTTTTATTTTTATTATGTTTATGCTTTAAACACCAACTCCTTGTATGTGACAACATACTTGGTAATAAACCTGATACTGATGCAGCAGTAATAATAACCTAATATAGTAACATTGACACTGACAGCAGCCGCTTATGTGAGTACCTTCACTTACTGTAATACTACAATCATTCATGCCCTGTCCCGGTCTGTAAGTTTTGGTGCGCTGCCCTCTCTTGGCACGTTTGTTGTGGTGCCATTTGTTTCCCACTTTGTAGTAATGGAATTAATGGTGCTCAGTGGGGTGTTCAGAGCTACAGATATTTTATTATAACCCAGGTCTGATCTCTAGAATGTTGTCTGGGACCTGTTTGGAAAGCTGCATGGTCTTTACGGTGCCATGTGCTTAGTGGTGCTGCTGACTGTGGGTCCTTTTTAGAACAGGTGTATATACACTGAGATCATGTGCTACTTAGATTGCACACAGGGGGACTTTATTTAGCTACTTATGTGATTTTTTTTAAAGATAATTTTTTGACACTTCTGCCTTTATTAGATAGGAAGGTCTAGTGTGTAATGTAAAGAGAGAGAGAGAGAGGGGATGACATGCAGCAAAGGGCTGGAATTGAACCTGCAGTCACTATGTGACTTTTGAAGGTGAACGCACCACTGTGCAGTTTTGTTTTGCTTTTTTAATTTTTTAGAATAAGATTATTATCATCATTTCCTAAACCAATGTGGACTCGTCTGTATAAGCCCATTACAAAACAATACAAATACAAATCCATTTAAATTACAAGCTGTAATGCAACAAATTAGAATAACGCCAGCTGGGATGAATACTTTTGCAGGGCATTAAAGTATTCCAACATTGTATTTACAAAGAGCACATTAAGACAGTATTAAGCTTCATGCAAAGTACCTGAGATGTAAGATCACTGGGGAACACTTCAGATCAATGAGGAGGTGGTAAAATGAAGTTTATTTTTGTCATGATGCACAAAATGTTGCTGCCATTGCTGCCACATTTAAACATTTAAGGATTCAACTGACAAAGACAAGGAGAGTTTTCAGATGACGTTTTGTATTTCCAGGTATTTCAGTTTCATCAGTTTACAGTGAAGGGGAAATATTCCATAGTGTATCAGATTCAAACCCTCAACCTCTCAAACACACAATTGGGCACATTGTACTCGACTACCACCAGTTTAAGTTGATAACAGTTTGAATGAGGTCAAAGCCAGGGAAGTCCATGGCAATGACACCAAAGCACGGTCTGGGCTGATTGGGGTAAAACTGTCTCAGGTACTGGTTGAGCCATGGGTCCACCTTCTCAGCCACTCCCTTTGGAGTCAGAAACATTCCCCAGAAAGTACCAAAGCCTGTGCCGCTAGTGTACGTCAGAACAACGTTATCACCTCCACAGGCTATAGTGGCTTGGTTCAGCTGCTTGATGATTCTGTTGTCTTTATTTTTAACGTCGCTAACCTCGTTGCTACCTTTCCTGCCTGTATCTATGAGAGGAATTCCCAATGTGAAGGTGCTCTTCTGCAAGAACACAATTTTCCCCCTGACCTGACCCATATTTGGCATCCCCGAGTTCACCCACACATGTTGGTCGTTGCCAATAAGACTCTGCACCATTTGATTGACAGTGCTCTTCTCAAAGGACTCTGGTTGCACTCTAATGAGCACAGCCTCAGACCTAAACTCTGACAGGAAGGTTCGCACAGTGGCTAGGACATCCTTGAGAGTGCTGCGCTGGAACATAACCCCATGCATGACATAAAGGGTGTCACCCAGTCCAAACACTTTGAGATCCAGGAAACGAATGCCAGCTCTGAGCTGATCCCTCAGGGACAAAGCCTGGCATTTAGCCTCTGGACCTCCGTACAGGGCCATGCTGTCATGGGAACCAGGGATGGTGATGGAAGAGAGGATGCGGAAATCCTCAATGCCCGCCATCCATGGAACATTGTAGGACCCCGGGAGTATGAGGTTACTATTGTCATTGAAGAACACGTCTTTTCCGTGGCACAAAAAACTGTTGATGAGGAACAAGTGATGTTACAATATCTCCAGCGCCATGAAGCTGCAGCCTAAAAACTATCTGTCCTTGTATTAAACTTTAATATTATACTCACGTGACGGACAGCAAAATGCAGTGGAAAAGGAGACACCTGTGACCAGCCTTCATTCTTGCAGAGACGAGCGATCTAGCAAATGATTTATAAAATAAAAATCACATCGAAATCACATTGAAATCCAAAGCTTTTATCTAACATCGTCAACTTAAACAAATCAGTGTTTTGTCCTTTACCTTACAGCCAGGAGGATTTCACAGCGAGCCACCCCAATGGTCAAAATGTGGACGACTCAACAAACCATCCATAATTTATATTGCTTCGTTATCTACAAACTTTTAGGTGTGGACCACAAATATCAGTTAAGCAATGCAGATGTCAAACATGTTCGTCCAGATTGTGGTGTTTGTTTTCAGAGTGTTTGAGAAGGCGCGTCCCTAAATAAAGATTTGAGTCAGATTAGATTTGATTTCTAGCAGGAGTTATCTGGAGTGTAAGCAGCCACACCAGCGCAGCAAAATAACAATGACTAAGCCATGTAAGATATAAGATATCATCTTTACCATCTAATTGGTGACATTATTTAACTTATGCAAGCAATAATGAAGTACAAGCTTATCGGGCGATGAAAATGGGGCAGGACTGATTTTCCTCACCAAAATTTAGCTATGGAGCAACCCATTGTCACTCTGACCTGTATCGCTGTCTGCCGGAAGTCAGACGCCGAATACAGCCGATGGGTTCCGAGAACTCATGTTTGGTAACAATGGATGCCTTAAGTCAACCCAGTCTCACTCCGAAGTCATCAAAATCCAACAATTGGACAGAAACCTGCGGCATCAGACACTGACAAAAACCAACAAACACCAGCCTTCACCCAGGAGAGCAGTGTTCACGTCCTGTAAGATTCTAAAGCCAAGCCCTGTTCTTTTTTCCTAAATCTAACCATGTGTGTTTGTTGTTGAAGGGGAAAAAAAGTGAATTCACGGTGTTGTGCCAACATAGTCCATTTATCTGAAAAGAGACTGTATGCAAACTGTTAATTTCGGAACTGTAATTTCGTGGAATTATTCTCTGTAGTATTGTGTCTTTCGCAAACGAATCGTTCAAAAGAATGAATCTGTTGAGTGAACGTACTGAACTGAATCACTTCCGGAACTGATTTGTTCATTTCTCAGTTCAGTTGAGCTGGGCAGCGAGCGCACAGGCCTGGAGCAGAACTGCTGATTTGTTTCATGCGAATAATTAATCACTCGCGTGTTGCAAGGCAGCCAGGGTGCAGGGAGGAACTGCCTACCGTGTGACGAATCACTTGGTGAACGAATCACTCGGTGAACCACGTAACCCCGATCCCTGAGTGATTAAAATGATTTCTTCTCAGTGATACACTTTCATAGGGACCATTTTCTCCAAGCTAACAGCTAATGTAGCCAGGAGTCAAGCCACATGAACACCATCACACACCTCCCCATTGTTTTAACAGAGTTAGTTTCCAGATAAACAAACTTAAAACGTTAGGCTGGCCAGTAATGAGACTCACAAGTGCAGGGCAGACGCAGCAGCAGCTCAGCCATGTATCAGTTCAGTGAGTCGGACTATGCAGCAGTCAGGGCTCCTCCCGCCAAACACTTAACGATTCAGTGAACGAATCTTTTGAGCGAATCTTTTGAACGAATCTTTTTAATGAACTGATTCTAGTGATTCAGTAACATCTAAAGAACTGCTTTGCACATCACTAATTCTCTGGGATTGTATTACTGGCAAGCAAATAAGTTGGCAAACCACAAAAAGCCCTTTACAGAAGGACAGGGAAGAAAGTGAGGAGTATCTTGGCAGATACTTCCAATGCCCTTTTCAACCAGTTTGAGCTGTTGAGCTCTGGGAGGTGCCTCAGTGTCCATTTAGCAACTAAAAATGTATTCAACAAGTCCTCATCCTAAGTGCCATCAATATTCTTACCTAAACGTGACACAGTCAGAAAGAATCTACTCTTCTCCGTGATTCAAAATGTAAAGCTGTTGTTTAACTAACGACCGATTGGTGGCAGCAGCAACACACTGATGCAGCTTCAACTCTGCCAGGAAAAAAAACGTAGAAGAAGAACGAGTAGTAAAGATGGCGGACGAAAGTAAGACGGACCTTACGGAGGAGGGAAACGCAGACAAAAATGTTGCTCCCGGAGTATCTATGATGGTGGTCAACGTTAAAACCCCCATGGGAAAAGAGGAAATTACGATTTCGGAGGATTCTTCTGTCCTTCAGGTGGGTTCACGGACCCTTTTCAACATCCGGCAGCGGAAATCACACCACCGTCATCAAGCGTTTCCTAGCACAATAAGGGGAAAGCTCAAAAGATTTATTGTTTCACTTGATGTCCAGCAGCGGTTGCGTCTTTTAATGTATTTTCGTGGTGTCACAGATGTCAGCTGTCTGAATAAGGTTTGCCCGATGCGAAACCAGCGTTTAAATCCGATATTTCCAAAGACAGTAGACATCTATGTGGTTAAGAAAAATTAGCATATCAGAGCAAACATTGACGTCGAAGTTGTAGGATACAGCGACATTTAGCTAAATGTGACGCTGATAGTAACTTAACAGCTAACGTTAGGTTTTAAGCGAACTACACTACGGTCGCATGAGATAACGTCGCCACCTTCAATGAGACCGTAAAGCCGTGTTCGGCGCGGCTCGGCGTGATGACGTTCTGTAGTCTTATTTAGCCACTTGTTAGCAAACGGCTTTCTTTAAAGACACATATGAGCTTAAAAATTCACTGTGTCGTATTTACTGACGTATTTTATATCGTAGAACAAAACCTGAAAGTCTCTTAAGCTTGTTTTAACCACAGACTTTATTTCAGACATCTAACCAAAAAGCCCATTGACTTTGAGTCGAGGGAACTGTGAGTGGTAAAATGCTAACTCATTCTGGGTTTTAGCGAAAACGACTTAGCTTTATCTTACATTGTGTAGGTGACAGGTCGCTGAAAGGTAAACATACCTGGTGCTGTTGAACAACATTAAACAAGTCTAAGAGCTGATACTGATCATTTAGACTTTGATGCCTATCTGTGAAACTATTTTTACTCTGTTAAAGGGGAACTTGCACGTCACATAGATTAAGAATCTCAGTTTGTTGTCTCCATAGCTTAGTAAAGTTCAGTTGGTGTTTGTGAACATCATGGTGATCATGAGCCTCTGTCTCTCAATGCTAGTGCCAGAAGTGCGACTCAGATGGTCCCATTTCCTGAGTTTCGAGGTCGTTCTTCTGACTTTGGTGTGTTCATGAGGTTTAAAGGTTAAGTGTGTAAGATTTAGGGGGGGGGGGGGGGTTAGTGGCATCTAGTGGTGAGGACCGCGGATTGCAACCAGCTGAAATTTCTCCCAGCTAATTCCCTTTGTCTTCATTGTTCAGGAGGTTTTTACCGGGAGCCGAATTATCCACAAAAGTCTCTTCTTCACCAAAGCAAACAGACGAGGGGTGTCATTTATAAACACTGTGTACGCACAAAACAAACGCCATTTCCCACACAAAAGTTGAGATCTATTAAAGTAGACTTGATAGGAGAAACTCCGACCCACACTTGGGCTTGGCGACGCAGATGGTGATGGTGAGGTTGAAGCCTGATTGTAGAAATTGTTGAATATTTTTTGGCGCACGCCATTTTTGGCTTTTGTCTGTACGTACATTTCTAGTATGGATTCTACGCAGTGTTTTATAAATGAGACCCCAGGTGATTAAAACCAGTAAAACACTGAATAAAATGGTTTCACGTTGCAAATGAGTGTTTCTACAACGCTGTCTGGCATGTCAGAGAAGAGCGTCTAAGCTTGCTGCTGTGTGTTCACATTATAGGGATAACATGAATGAATTTTGAAACGTGGCATAGTTCTCCTTTAAGTGATTGCGCACACAACACCTCTTGCCCATTAACCTGTTTAACCTGTCTGTCTGGGGCACTTAAGCAAAAAAAATGTGGGTGAGATTCTTTTATTATTCCTTTGTAAGTTCCCTGTCTGTGGGAACTGTCAGACCAATTCAGCCACAGCTTAATACAATAAAGGTAAAGCAGACATCAGATGGGAGCCAGATGTTCCCCAGTTCAACCAGAAACCAACCAGTCTTCCACTTCCAGTGTTAGAATACTGCCTGACTCCAGATTGTCTCTGTCACTTTGTGATAATTTGATGAAATCAACTGTCCAGTAATTTAGAAATAAGAACCATATATAATGCAGAGTTAAGTAAAGATAATGAAAGTTCTAAAGTAGATTCAGACACAGCAACCTCCTCACAAAGGGCTTTAAGTTTAAATAACGCAGGCTGATTTTATATTTAATGTACAATCTATTCAAATGACCAGAGACCTCTTGTTGGGACGGCTGCTCACTTGCTTTTGTCTCATTTGTCCAGTTCAGACAGGAGGTATCCAAAAAGTTCAAAGCCCAGCAGAACCAGCTGGTGTTGATATTTACAGGAAAGATTCTGAAGGATGCCGATACTTTAAAGCAGCACGGCATCAAAGACGGGCTGACCGTTCATCTCGTCATCAAGAGTGCCCCCAAGTAAGTACAAGTCACAAGATGTGTGTGAAGCTTAAAAGGCAAAGATCAACCCTGGTAAGAGTTTAATTTCACAGTTCCTTTCTCATCTAAGATCAACAGGTGACAGTACATCCAGAACAAGTTCCAGCGCTGCAACACCTCAGAGTAGCAGCAGCAGCAGCAGCAGCAGCACTGCACCAGACAGAGCAGGAGGCGGCACGAGTCAGAGGCCAACACAACCACTCGGTCCTTCAGGACCTGCTAATGCATTGAGTAAGAACTGTACCACTTTTTTTTTTAATTGCTGGCTTTTTGCACTGCAGTGAGTTTAATTCTAGTGATCCGGTCACATAGATTGTGCAGATGTAATTAAGGTTGCAGAAAGGGACTTGACACAAATCCACATAGTGAAACAGCAACATCTGAATCCAGATGCCTCACACTAACTTTTTCCTCCCAGTCCCCACTACTTCACGGGAGGTTGTGTTGTACACCGAGCCTGTAAAACATCAGACACTGTACATATTATATGTCATGATGCATTAACCACTTAAAACAACACATACGCAAAACCATAGGAGTATGTAGTGTTTCTCAGGGGGTCAGTATTGGTCGACCCTGAGAGTTTGACTTAAGAAGTCTTGCATATTATTTACATCAGTGGCTCTCAATCAGGGATCCAGGGGTCCTTGAGGGAGACAGAAAGTGGGGAATAGTTTCTTCAGTATTTATTTCACTGTAGAAGTGAGCCTAATGTGAATAAGGATGTTTTTCATTATGCTAAGTTTACACCCTGGCATCCTCTCTCCTCCCGTGACCCACTGATGGCACCCTCCACCATCATGGAGGATGTTCTAATCCCTTAGGATGCTTTCACACCTGCCCTGTTTGGTTTGGTCCAATCAAACTTAAGTTGTGACATTAGACAGTGTCACATTTATCTTGCGAGTGTACTCTTCGTTAATCCATCGCAAGGTTGGTCTTATATTCCATTTAAAGTGCTGTTAAAAAGGTCTTAAAGTCTTAAATTGATCTTGTTTATACCTGTAGACACCCTGTATATTAGAGTTCCCCCCCAAGGAGCTAATCATCTTTACTCCTCCTCAGGTGGGCTCGGTGACCTGTCTGGTTTGTTCGGTCCAGGCATGCGTTCATCCAGCCTCATGGAGATGCAGCAGCAGGTGCAGAGTCAGCTGATGTCCAACCCACAGATGATGTCACAGATTATGGGCAGCCCGCTGGTCCAGAACATGATGTCCAACCCCAACCTGATGAGACAGATGATGGCAGGCAATCCTCAGATGCAGCAGCTCTTGAATCAGAACCCGGACGTCTCCCGCTTGTTCGGCAACCCTGACCTCATGAGACAGGTCAGTGCAGAGTCTTCTCATGTTAGTGCCCTGAAACAGAGTCACCCTCAGAGAGCCAGTGTGGATAAATGTCCACTGATTAAATAAAGGTCTTGTATTACAAGTTGTAACACTTTTTGCTTTAACTAGAGATGTTGCTTGTTAACTGAGCTACAGAACTTAAGCTTGTCCGAGTACCGTCACCTGCAGCTACTTTCTTTACATGATTATTCTTTCTCGTACTGCAACCAGCTCCTAGATTATGATCTAGTTTCTTTCTTTCACCACTTACTGCCTGGGTGATTTTTTTTTTTTCACCGTAATGAAAGAATAATATTGGTTTCATCCTCTCCTGCTGTGGTTTGGATGTCTGTCTGCCAGATAAAATGTGCTGAAATATGAAGGGAGGTCAACAGTCTAATGAGACATTAGTTGCAGAAGGTCATTCCTGCAACAAGCTTAAGGACTGACACTGATAGACGTCATTCCAGTCATAAGAGTGCTTCTTCTTCTAGACCTCATCAGCTCTCACTGTGGTTGTTTTTGTTATTTGAATCCTCCCGTCCCTCGACAGACCTTAGAGTTGGCAAGGAATCCAGACATGATGCAAGATGTGATGTGTAACCAGGAGGACTGGGCGCTTAGTAACCCTTAGAGCGTCCCCTGGGTTTATAATTCACCCCAGAGGATTTATGCACACATTAATATTGTTATCTTGTGCGTACAAGAATAGAAAGTATCATCTATCAGGACGTCAGGGACTCTTTGGTTTGGAGTTGACTTGTGTCGTGTTTGTCATTGAGCAGCTGCAGAATCCAGAAACGCTGTCCATGCTGACCAACCCCAGGGCCATGCAGGCTCTCATACAGATCCAGCAGGGCCTGCAGACCTTACAGGCAGAAGTCCCAGGATTCATGTCCAGGTACCGGCTATGATGCCAGATTTATGTATACTGTATGAATTCAGTTTAATAAGTATTGGTAGTGGTTATTTGAAGACACAGTCATGACATGTCTGTCCCCTCTCTAGATTGTCCCCTGGAGCTCTCACAGTTCCTCCAACCACAGGGGGTAGCGTTCCCCCAGTGAACCTTCAACCTCCTGCCATGGCAACAGGATCCACTCCGGCTGCAGCCACCAGTCCCTCTCAGCAGCAGCTCATGCAGCAGATGTTACAGATGTTTGCAGGCGGAGGACCATCAGTATGTTTTATTTAATTACTTGAATTTGTCCCGTTTGAATGATATGGATGTGATAATGTCCTTGACCTGAGGGCTGGGTGTAGAATAGGGGGTTAGAAGGTCTGAGATGTAGGATAAGGGCTTTGTACACAAACAGAAGAACCTTAAAGTCAATTCTGAACTCAACAAGCAGCCAGTGGAGAGAGGCCAAAACATGTATGATATGGTCTCTCCTCCTGGTTCCTGTGAGGAGTCTGGCAGCAGCGTTCTGAACCAGCTGGAGGCGGGACAGAGGGGACTGACTGATACCAGTGCACAGAGAGTTACAGTAGTCTAAACGGGAGGAGATGAGAGCGTGGGTGACTATCTCAAGGTCTTTGAGGGAGAGAAATGGCTTGATTTTGGAAATGGTGCAGAGTTGGAGAAAGCTGTCTTTAAATACTGCATTTATTTGTTTGTCAAACTAAGGCGGAGTCAAATATCACGCCACAGTCATGGCAACTTGTTTACTTCCTGTACTTTTCCCTGATTCGTCTGTAGAGAAACATTTAGAGGAACCTCTGCACTCATTTTATAAAGTCATCAGAATCTAAAGAAAAGAGGTGAATAATCTGTAATCTGGAAATAATCAGTATCTGACCCTATGCATCGTCTCGTCCCTCACAGCTACAGACCCCGGAGGTTCGTTTCCAGCAGCAGCTCGACCAGCTCAGCGCCATGGGCTTCATCGATCGCCAAGCCAACCTGCAGGCGCTCATTGCTACAGGAGGGGACGTCAACGCCGCCATCGAGAGACTGCTGGCCTAACTGGCTCAGTTCACTCCGGGGCTGAGGGTGGAAAGGCGGTAGAGTTAGGGACTGGCATGGGAGATTTCAAAGAAATGAATACATGAATATAATCTGGAATCAAATGCAGGTGTGACCCAACAGACTGCTCCTGCAGTTTATCTGTAAACCACAGGAGGAATAAACAGGGAGGTTGGGAAACATATTGTCTAACAGAATAGGGTCTATGTTACTGTTTGACCTGTGAGTTCGTTACTCCTCTCAGTGCAGCTGGAGTTTATTTCTAAAATGACCGAAGGTCACTCACTGCATGTCGACATCAGGTCACAAAGGAATCACCTGTTATTTTTTACATTATTTAAATTTAACAGATTGTATTCAGGTGGTTTGATAAAGAGTTTAAATTCATGGTTTTCCATACACAAAGCTTGTTTTTACATATTTTTTTCCATCCTCTTCCCTGGTATTTATTTAAGTTTTTTACCCTGACTGGCTCTTGACAGTTTATATTTCCTCTAAAACACTTTTCTCAGTACGGGATCTTGTTTGTGTGGTTGGCACTGCTGCCTAAATGTCAAAGGCGGAGAAGGTAAATGATTATGGATAGTAGGACCAAGTGTGTGTGTGTGTGTGTGTGTGGGTGTGTGTGGGTGTGTGGGGAGGAGGGTTGGACAGTAAGGGTGTTTCCACACTTTTTCAGCCCTCTAAACAGTCTCAGAGCGACAACTCAACACCCTGAAGCCACCTCAGGAAGTGGTCTGAGTTCGGTTCGCTTGTAGTTTGCACTGAGGCCCCATCAGAGCTGAAGTTGACCAGAAAGAGAATCGAGTCCTTTCTGGTCCACTTTTTGGCGCACTTTAAGATTACTGAGTTTGGTTTGTTTTAAAGCGGACTATATGTGGAAACACCCTAAGACGACATACTGAGAGGACAGAGACTTTTTAACTGGTAGAGATTTTGCTATGTTGAGAGAAACGTCCCTTTAATATCTCTGGTGCTGCTAGTGTTGGATTTACAGGAAGTGCATTTGTCAGGTTTTTCATTTTCAGAATTAGCAAAACAGTCGTTTCCATTTGAATCTTCAAATCTGTAAATTGTGGACGCCCCCAAATCACAATATCGCCTTAAAACAAAACATCAAGTTTTTATTCATATCCCTGAACTCTAACCCAGACTGTGATCGGATCCTGTTGACTAACAGTACATAAGTAAATAAACTTGCACCCATTTGTTTTTTGGATCTAAATGATAATAATGTGATTAATGTGGTTATAGATTACATGATAGAAATGGTTAAAAGCTGTTAGGGAATTGTTTTAAAGTGATGGACAGATAAGTAAAACCCTTTCTCAGTGACACGAGCAGTGTAGTGCCTAAAGATAATGTTGGGTTCTGCAATATGATCTGTGAAATCTGTTGCACGTCTCCCTACGGACAGATGGGAAGCCAAAACATATATATATATATATATTTTAATCCAATAAATTATTTGTAATGTGTATTGTCTATTCTAAATATGTGTGAATGATTTCCTTTGACAGTCTGACAGCTCTTTTGTGTTTTTTAAATCCATGATTGAAATTTCTTTTGTCCTGACAATATGTTTTTGACCATAGCGTATCAAATTGCTTATGGCTTCCAATGATATCTGAAATTGCTCCTTAAAAAAAAAAATCTAAATTTAAATACTGTTATTGTCGCTAACAGTCGTCTGTGCAGTGCTGGAGAAACTTAAATGTAGCAATACCTCGAATGTTACTCCAGTCACTGTCAAAGTCTGTATCGTGCCTTTATCAAGTCTTCAGCACCAGATTCTTTGAATTATTAAAAGTAAAATCACCTTTTTGTCGCTTTAGATCTTTTTGAATGTGTTTTTGTTCTTTTATGTATTCTGAAAACATTGGATTGTTTATGCTAGAGATATTAACATTAAACTTTAAAAATCTAGAGTGTTGCACATCAAGGTGAAGCTACAGACGTCAGATAAAGTGCAGCACAAAGGAGGTGTTTACCCATTGAATATTAGGCTAAAGGTCTTTTATTGTTATGTACACAACAATTAACAGTGAAGTAAATGTTGGCGATGAGTTTGTTAGATCTCAGGCTCCCTCCCTCTGCTGTCTCACAGACACTGTACTATAATATATGCATAAAGACAAGTTACATAAGTGGAGTAAAAGCTAATTAGAATGCAAGGTATAAAGAAGTGCAAAAATATAAGAATAAAACTTACATAAAATAAAATATATAATACTGTTATAGGCCATGTAGAAACCTGTATGCATATAAATACATTAAAAAAAATATACATGGACAAAAACCTTACCAACAGGAAGTAAGATAGATATACATAAACTGGTAGTTAATGATTATATATACTGTGATGTGTACAGGTATAAACACAGTGAATAAATATATATATAGGCTACTGTGCTGTGTACATTAAAATATAAACAGATGGTAATAAATGTGGACAAAAGGTTTAAAATTAAAAAAATACAAATACTTAAGTAAACTGTAGTGCAGTACTTGTCTTAAGAAAATATATTTTCACATTTAGCTAAAAATAGTAAATATATAAGTAAATCTGGATGAAATTGTCACACTTTAAGTCTGTTATGCTGCACTTTGATTTGGGCAGCAGTAGCTCAGTCCATAGGGACTTGGGTTGGGAACCGGAGGGTCGCCTGTTCAAGTCCCCATCCGGACCAAATATGGAGCGTGGACTGGTGGCTGGAGAGGTGCCAGCTCACCTCTGCACACTGCCAAGGTACCCTTGAGCAAGGCACGGAACCCCCCAACCGCTCAGGGCGCCTGACCAAGGCAGCCCCCTCACTCTGACATCTCTCCACTTTGTGCATGTATAGGTCCTGTTTGTGCATGTGTGTATTCAGACCTGTGTGTAATTGAATTTCCCCTCGGGGGAATTAATAAAGTATATAAAAATTAAAAAAAAAAAAAATTCAAGTAAGGCAGTACATCACCAAACCACTACAGTGTAACAGCTGTTGGAGGTTTGGTCACAGTTTGTCTGTGTGGAGAAGGGATTGTGATGCATGTGGTAAATGTGGAGAGCATGGATGTGAAGGAGACTGTGAAAGAACCAGAGTGTGTTCTTTGCAAAGGTAAGCATGCAGCTACCTGTGCAAAGAGAGTAAGGGAGGCAGAAATAATAAGAGAATGAAGACCAGAAACAAACGTGAGGAAGTAGGTAAGACAAGATATGTAAAAGTCGACCAGGAAGCATTAAGAATATTGCTTGTATAAAAACTAGATGAGATTTTTGTCCTTTGTGGCAACAGTTATTAACTGTACTGAAAGAAAATCTGAGAAAACTGAGATAATCAGATGCGGCAAGGAGATTTCTGGATGTTGTGTGTGTCTGGAGAAGACGTACAGCAGCTTTGAGAGAAGCTTTAAAGCTCTCAAACAACCAGGAATTGGAACAACAGAATTGGAATTAGATGGGAAAGACATATTATTAGTAGAAGTTCATATAAGTGGAGGCTTTAGGGTAAGTTCATTAGGTGGCGGTATTGCAGCTTTGTGGACGCCAGCCGCCATTAATAAACAAAGAAGAAGACCGTTTCCTAGGATGAATTCAATGCCTACAATTCCCACAATTCATTGCAACGACTCCCGGAAAGGGAAGAAAACACAGTCAGCTGACTCCGCTTCGTGTTTTGATGAGTAGTTTTTGACAGTTTAAAGGCAGTCGTTTAGTCATAAAAATATATATTTATTATTTGTCAGTATTATATGTTTGTGACTTATTAGCTATGTTACGACCAAAGGCGTTGACGCAGGTTCTGAGCCAGGCGAACACAAACGGAGTCCAAAGTACACTGTGAGTACAGTTAGCTAGCTAGCTTAGCATGCTAACGATATGCTACTTGGTACAGGAGTTAAATATGGGTTTGACTTTTATACAGTTTGTTGTTTCAACGGTTACAAAGGTTGGCGTTTTGATACAGCTTTACATGGAAATATAAAGAGTTTGCTAGCTGATTATTATCAGGAATGGTGCCAACAGACAGGCTAATATTAGCAACATCAACCAATGTACACTTTACAGAGATATATCTGTGTAAAATATTTAGTATGTGTAAACCTTACGTGTTGTTTACAGGTTTTAAGTCTTAATTTATCTAAAACTTAGGATTTATTTTCAGATATTCAGCTAAATATACACCTGACAAAATAGCACAAATCATCACATTTAAGGAGCTGGGAGCAGTAAATTTTCTAGCTTTTTTTTTAATAATTATTGAAATATTTTTTGATTATCAATTAATTTGCTTTATTTATTTATTTATTTATTTATTTATTTATTTATTTATTTTTATGTGTTTAGTATTTGTGAGCCTCTTGTTTCCATTCTACTAAAATAAATAAGAATGTCTAAATTCACTAACTTGAACTAATTGGTCATTGTGTCCATATAAACCCAGCCTGCATTTCAACAGATGCTTTTAATTTTAATTTTGGTCTTTAAACATCTTAAATCTACTTTAATTACACTTTTAACTCACAGCAAACAAGCAATATAGTTCATAACAGTTTTACATATTTTTAAGTAGTTCAGGTAGTTTCATATGTCTTTGTGTACACTATATACTATGATTAAGGTTATAAATATCTCCATCAGTATTCAGTAGCTTGATAGACGTAGCTGGAGTAAAATCCGTATGGCATATTTAGAGTAAAGTAAAATAATGTCCCATGTTCATGTGATGGTAGCATGATGGTGCAGTGGTTAGCATTGTTGCCTCACTACAAGAGGAGCCCTTCTGTGTGGAGTTTGCATGTTCTCCCCATGTCAGCGTGGGTTTTCTCCAGATACTCCAGTTTCCTCCCACAGTCCAAAGACATGCAGGTTAATTGGTGACTCTAAATTGTCCGTAGGTGTGAATGTGAGTGTGAATGGTTGTCTCTTTCTATGTGTCAGCCCTGTGATAGTCTGGTGACCTGTCCAGGGTGAACCCTGCCTCTCACCTATTGTCAGCTGGGATAGGCTCCAGCACGTCCCTGACCCCTAACAGGATGAGTGGTTACAGAAAATGAATGAATGAATGAATGAATGAATGTGCTGGATACTTTAACATCCAACTTCATATTTTCACCAGGTTACTGAACAATGAAGGTTCACTTCTGGCCTACTCCGGGTACGGGGACACAGACGCACGAGTGACAGCCGCCATCGCTAGCAACATCTGGGCGGCCTACGACAAGAACGGCCACCAAGCCTTTAACGAAGACAAACTCAAATTCATTCTTATGGATTGTATGGTAAGAAGTGCAGTTAGTCCGTAACCACTGCACTTGTTCTCAGAGATATGATGATGGGTGATTGTGATACAGACAGTTTGTGACTTTCTCTGTTGTTTGTTCTCTCAGGAGGGAAGAGTGGCCATTACTCGTGTCGCCAACCTGCTGCTGTGTATGTACGCCAAAGAGACAGTGGGCTTTGGAATGCTCAAAGCAAAGGTGAGAGGGTTTTTTTGCAGTTGGTGCTGACATCAGTCATTGGTTCCCCATACAGCTAATGTCCTCCTTTTATACTTACATGGTATAGTGTACATTTGTTGTGGTTTACTGTACCTGCCATGCCCATTTGTATAATCAGGGTTATGGCACTAACATGTAATGGGGCCTTTTTTTTAGCTTTGTTATCAAGGTCGACGATGCATTGTTAGCTGCTTGTATTTTGAAAAATTGGTTTGCATATAGATTAAGTTTAAATCTTAAATAAGAGGAACAGGAAATACCAAGTTAACAGATGAGAGATATTGCAGTTTGTAAGCCTCAAATCTCAGACATATGATCAATGTAAATGTCTTTTCCCCATCATTTAAAATAGAGGTATGGTTGCAGCATGAAATCTGATCCCAGGATGAATTTCAGACCTCGTGGAAATGTTCAGAATTTACCTTAAAACTGTTTTACTCTCGACTTTGGCAGAATGTCTTGATCAATTTACATACACATGCTAAAGGCCTTTGCACACTGAGTCCAATTTTTTATGATCTAAAACTGTCTAATGTCTAAACATAAACACGACTTCAAGTTGAATCGTGTTTGCACACTGAATCCGAAACTTACTTTTCGTCATTTAAATTTTCGGAACAGTCTCAATTTTCTGTGTTTTTTGCATCCGTCAGAGCCTCTAGAGACGTTTGACCAAGAATCAGTGAAGAAAATGTGGTGGCAGGACACAGCTGTGACAAGACAGAGAAACGGGGTGCACAGAATCATTACATAACTCAGACAGCTCACTCTGAACAGGTCAGATAGTAATATTCAGGTGGATGATGATGAAGAGGAGGATGTGGACCGCACACAGAGAGGGGGGGACATCTCCACCCCTTCATGCAGCTGCGGTGCCAAATGAAAGATAAGGAGGGAGTGATGACAGCCAGATAGGTAACTCCAGTGGAGAGAGAGTCACGTATTGCGAATTTTCACAACGAATAGAACAATAAAATGCATCAGAATCAGTGTGTAAAGTTCCTGTGCGTTTCGATTGGAGGATTAAAAAACCCATCCGAAAAAGACTCAGTGTGTAAAGGCTTTAACTTTTAATCAGTCAGACAGAAGGTTAACACTGAATTAAGTTGCTCTGGTAATGTGCAAGAATCTCCAGAATTCAAGCTTTTTTGTACTTTTTATCAGACATTGCAGACAGACATTATTGTGGCTGAACAACTGCATTTAAAAAACACTGGAAATGTGTACCAGTTCACTGTACAGGGCTGCAGCTAAAGATTATCTGCATAATTGTTACATTTGGAGATTAAATCATTTGGTTTATAAAACCATCACTAGTTTTTAGAGCCCAAGATGATTTTGTTTTGTGCGACCAAAAGTTCAAAACCAAAAGATATTCAGTTTACTCTGATGTAAGACAAGAAAAATCAGCAAATATTCACATTAAAGAAGCTAAAATGATCAAATATTTGGCATTTTTGCTTGATAAATGACTTAATTGATGACTGGATAATTAATAGTTCTCAATATTGTTCAACTTGAAGTCATTAAAACCACTCATGTCTTATTAAATCTGCAAACGTAACTTGGTTTATAATAGATGTTCTGTTTATAACACAGCTTGTTTGCTACACCGCAACACATAAGGCCCAAACTAATCCAGGATCACTCCTCACTGTGACTACAGCCTGTGTTAACACTGTCCTGTGTGTGTTGTGTTTCCAGGCAGAAGCCCTGGTGCAGTACCTGGAGGAACCATTAACCCAAGTGGCAGCGTCATAGTGAAGATGAGACGAACGCGCCGCCTTCTGTCTGCCTGGAAAACAAGCGTCATGTGATCCAGGTCATTCATGGACTACTGTAACATTCTGTGTACATGCTTATATCTATGAGTGAGTGAGTGAACATGTGGAGTGGGGGGGGCAGTGTATTTATAATCATGGTATTGAAGCTAACTTGTCTGGGGTTTTAATGATTCGCCCTCCCTTGTGACTCTTGTGTTCATCTAAAGGTCTGTTCTGAACTTCCACATAAATTGTCTGTAGGAAGTCTGAGTGTACATCTGCTGAGATGATTCCATTACAAACTGGTCCCGTGGATGATTCATTCATTCATTTGCAGTTTTAGTTCAGCAGAACCAATCAAAGAGAAGCAGGAAGTTGGAACACGTTGAATCCCATCAGAGAACTAAAATGGTTTGTGGAAACCTTTTTAAGAATGTCTGTCTGAAAAAATGCAGTAAACATTATTTGCTACGTTTTGTTTCAAAGCTGTCAAATAAACAATTTTTGGATTAATATTCACTTTATTTTATTTTTTTGTTTATGCTCTGAACGGAGTGCTTGTTGTGAGCGGGCTGAAAGATGGAGATGGATGAAAGTCTACCACTTTGTTACATCACCTTTTCTTTGAGCAGTATTCGGTATGCGTGTGGGAACTGAAACTCTTCCCCAGTTTTGCTTGATAAAAGATTTCAGTTGCTCAACAGTCCAGGGTTTCTGTTCTGCAGTAGCATGGCGCTTAATAACGTGTCACACATGTTCAACAGGAGTCAGGTGTAATCGGCAGGCAGGTCAGTCCAGTACCCACACCCTTTTACACTAAAACACTCAGTTTTGCATCCTTAGCTGTGTGACATTTTCCTGCAGATAACCACAGGATATACACTCACCAGCCACTTTATTAGGTACACCTTGTTAGTACCAAGTTGGATCTCTTTTAGCCTTCAGAACTGCCTTAATCTCCCGTTCCACCACATCCTAAAGGTGCTCTATTGGACTGAGATCTGATGACTGTGGAGGCCATTGGAGTACAGTGAACTCATTGTCATGTTTGAGATGATTTGAGCTTTGTGACATGGTGCGTTATCCTGCTGGAAGTAGCCATCAGAAGATGGGTACACTGTGGTCATAAAGGGATGGACACGATCAGCAACAATACTCAGGTAGACTGTGGTGTTTAAACCATGCTCAGTTGGTACTAAGAAAATCTCCCCCACACCATTACACCACCACCAGCAGCCTGAACCGTAGATACAAGGCAGGATGGATCCATGCTTTCATGTTGTTTACACCAAATTCTGACCCTACCATCTCGATGTGGCAGCATAAATCCAGACTCATCAGACCAGGCTACATTTTTCCAATCTTCTATTGTCCAGTTTTGGTGAGCCTGTGTGAATTGTAGCCTCAGTTTCCTGTTGTTAGCTGACAGGAGTGGCACCTGGTGTGGTCTTCTGCTGCTGTAGCCCATCTGTTTCAAGGTTGGACAAGCAGTTGAACAGGTGTACCTAATAAAGTGGCTAGTGAATCTATGTGTTTCATTGTATCAGACTCTGGACCCTGCTCAGTCACTTGCCTTTAAAACCTGAAATGAATATTATGAAAAGCGTAATGACTGTGAAACTAAAAAACCTTGGTCAGTCTTTGTAAGTGCAGTTCAGTCACAGCCTCACATATTTTTAACTTCACTTAAAATCAGTTTGAGATTTAAATTAAATTGCTTAAAACAAGAATTATCATAGTGTCTTTGTTGCACGCTGCCTGTCGGTGTTTATGGGCAATAATGTCAGACATTTTGATGCCTTACTGCTAAGAATTTAACACATGGAGGCACCAAGTTATAAAGTGAAAGATATTTTTCTTCATTTTAACCATGACAGAGTTTTAAAAGTCCTATTAATATATTACTAAAGTGTATTCATGGCCCAGAGACTGATAAAAATCAAAAAAATATAAAGTTTCCTGTACAGAAATACAATGAAACATCTGTTCCAGGGTGTTTTTCCCTTGTAGTGATGAAACAAGACTCACTTCCTGCTTCCTGGCTGCAGTAATGTGATTGGTCCAGCAGGAGGCGCCTGACAGCCCCTCTCAGCCTCACCTGCTAGTCGCTCCACCTGTCCAACCTGCCTTACACTGACTCTGTTTCCAAGACACACCTCCACAGCTGCCCCACCACTCCCTGACACAAGCCCCGCCTACTGCTGCAGAGCAACTTGGATACACTCAGCATGCCCTGTTCAAACAAGCCAGCTTTCTATTAACTCAGATAGGGAAGGGTAGCGAAGGGCAGAGAGCTGGCGACTGGCATTCATGTGTCAAAACATATCTTGCAGCCATTTTATTTCCTGAAGCCTGAGGATCTGAGGGGGCAGGCGGGCTCTGTGGTGTGAGTCAGTGTCGTCTTACATCCTGTAATCAGGCTGTGAGTGCTGGAGACGGCAGTAAACTGAGGGGCGGCAACACTGAATGGACAGAATATGGGGTCAGATGAGGCCTACAACTTTGTCTTTAAGGGTGAGTGCATGTTCTGTTTACTTGATCTAATCCTCAGGTGCATCTCTACAGTGTGTGAAGAGATGACTCTGAAATGGTCCTTTGTCCTTCACATTATACTTCCTTGTTTATCATTAACTTAAAGGAACAGGACTGTGTTGTGCAGCAACAGAATGCAATATATTCACAGTAATACACAGCCAACTATAATACACACTACACAGTAATACGCAGCTTAGATAGTCTGATCTTATGTGTATGGGTGTATACAGTTCAGTCATCTGTGTAGGTTAATAATGTATGTTGCTGTTTTGCAAGTTTAAAAACACTTCAGGTGAGCTGCATCATTACAAAGGTAATAACCATAAGTAGTCCAGTATATTGTGCCTGAGTGAGTAAGCAATAAGCATGCATAGTACAGGGTATTGATGAAACCAGGATGTGTACTTTAATTCCTGCTTATCTGTTGCATGCCACGCAGAACAACATGGTAAGCAAGTGTCTGGTTTAAAGCCCTGTGTCAGAGCCAAAAGACAAAGTGCATCACTCACAGTCCTTCTCCTAAATACAGTGATTGTTGGAAGTACTGTCAGTGCATCTGCGCTGGACTTATCGGTTCTCTGCTCTGTTCTTTGAAAAGTACCAGCTTGTGCCACTCAGTCTCTTCATCCTGCACTCTGCCTACTACATGACACAGTAATCATTTCTTAAACGCAGCTAGTTAAGGTACCAGATGGCTCCTAGCAGATGTTCCCGAGGAGTGAAAGGCATTCAGAGAGGTGACTCGGTTCAGGTGCATGTGATGTGACATTTGGGGTGCAAAGTGCCGGGTTGATAAAAGGCACTGCAGGTGAATGGTGAAGCCAGAGTAACTGTGTCCATCTGAAAGCATTACTTACTGTATTAATGAGTTCACAAATCACACATTCAGTAATAGATTTGCCTTTTATGGGCTTTGGGGCCATAATAGTTAAAGGGATAGTTCACCCCAAAATCAAAACTGCATATTTTTCCTTGTACCTGTAGTGCTGTACATTAGGGTAGATTGTTTTGGTGTGAGTTGCCGAGTGTTGACGATAGCGGCTGTAGAGATGTCTGCCTTCTTTCCAGTATAATGGAACTAGGTGGCACTCAGCTTGTGGTGCTCAAAGCGCCAAAAAAAAACATTAAAAACAACTCAACAGCAATGTCTCTTTCCAGAAATCATGACCCAGTTACTAAAAATAATCCACACACCTTGTTGTGAGTAGTTTCATGCAGGAACTATTTTCTTTCTACCAAACTACACCCACAAACTATCACGGCACATAGGGAAGCGTGCATTTACTCACAGATGAGAGGCTCGTGCTTGTGACAGCGTGAAAGGTAAACACAGATGCCCTCCTCCTCAGTTGAGCTGTAACATTAGCTAGCTCAGTGGTGCTAGGTGAGTTAGCAGTAGATGCACACTTGCTTCTACACAGTGATAAAGTTGGTGGGTGTAGTTCAGAAGAAAGGTCCTCCTGGGGGACCCTGAGGTGTTCCTAGGCCAGATGAGATATGTAATCCCTCCGGTGTGTACTGGGTCTCCCTGTGGGACGTGCCCTGAACACCTCTAACAGGAGGCGCCTAGGAGACATCCTGATCAGATGCCCGAACCACCTCAACTGACCCCCTTCAATGCAAAGGAGCAGCGGCTTTACTTCGAGCTCCCTCCGGATGTCCGAGCTCCTTCCCTTTCTCTAAGGCTGAGCCCAGACACCCCACGGAGGAAACTCATTTCAGCTGCTTGTATCTGCGATCTCATTCTTTCAGTCACTACCCAGAGCTCATGACCTTAGGGGAGGGTTGGGACGTAGATGGACCAGTAAATCCAAAGCTTCGCCTTCGCTTCGCTTCAAAAGATTCGAAAGCTTCTACCCCCGTTCACAAGTGAGGGTAGAATGAAAATGTAAAAGTGAATATTTCAACATTCTGGGGAATACGCTTGTTTGCTGTCTCGCTGAGAGAAAGATGAACAGATTGATACTCCTATGTCTGTACAGTAAATACAAATCTATAGCCAGCAGCCACTTAGCTTAGCTTAGCATAGCATAAAGCCTAGAAACAAAGGGGAACAGCTAGCCAGGCTCTGTCTAGAGGTCACAGAATTCACCTACAGCACCTGCTCACACATTAACACATTATACCTCATTTGTTTAATCTGTGCAAAGACTGAAGTGTAAAAATGAAAATGAAGTTGTGGTTTTTTGGAGGTTTATATGCAGGACTGTTTCACCTCACTACTTCCTGTTTCCCCTTAATTCCAGTCTTTATGCTAAGCTAAGCTATCTGCCTGATGGCTGTAGCTTCACACTTACTGTACATGAGAGTGGTATTGATCTTCTCATCTAACTCTTGGCCAGAAAGCAACTAAGCTTATTTACAAAAATATTGAGCTGTTGCTTTAATGGGCGAACAAACAGGAACAAACCTCAGGGGAGGCAACAGATGAGGGATCCCTCTTCTCGCCGGTGAATTGTGAATGGGCGAACAAACTGATTGTTATCTCTGAATAAACTCACTCTGCTGCTGCAGTGCTCTTACAGTAAGTAGTGGGTGCTGTAGTATCTCGAAGGTATGAGGGGGTTTTCATTCCACCTAGCGATTCACTGATAACTGAGAGAAACTAATCAGTAAAATGATTCTGATTCTGATTATGCTGATTCTATAGAGCTGCTTGGAATGTAAGCCTGCACGCTGTCAACCCTACACACACTGTACATGGACACACTGTGGGAGAAGAGTCTTGTTATTTGTTGTCATATGCGCCATTACAGAGAAGGAGTTGTTCAACCCTCCAACAATGTTCAATAAATATGAATTAAAAGAAAAACATGCAAGTGAAAAAAGAGGATTGAAGACATAAAGTAGGGCAGATGTTAAAATTTAGACATTAAATATAACATATATAGAATATAAAATCAAATCATATGTATTTGTGGTAGACAGCTGTACAGTAATTACAGTGTATATTAAGTATATATACATCAGTCAGCCAAAA